AGGCAATTCTCCTGCCTCAGCCTCCTGAGTAGCTGGGATTACAGGCACGCACCACCATGTCCAGCTGATTTTTTGTATTTTTAGTAGAGACGGGGTTTCACCATGTTGACCAGGATGGTCGCGATCTCTTGACCTCGTGATCCACCCGCCTCGGCCTCCCAAAGTGCTGGGATTACAGGCTTGAGCCACCGCGCCCGGCCTTGGCATTTGTTATATGCATCGAAAGGATGGATGACTTGAGTTTACTGGTACAGAGAACCATTGCAAGACTTTGCCTAGAGAAATTTTTTCATGGTGTCTTTGTAAAAGTCACCTGCCAGAACCTAAAAATGTTGCATATAGTGGAACCTTATGTGACCTGGGGATTTCTAAAACTGAAGTCTGTCCAGGAGCTCATTTTGAAACATGGACAAGCCAAGGTCAAGAATAAGACCATCCCTCTGACAGACAACACAGTGATCAAGGAACACCTGGGGAAGTTTGGCATCATTTGCTTGGAAGACCTCATTCATGAAATTGCCTTCCCGGGAAAGCATTTCCAGGAGATCTCATGGTTCTTGCTCCCTTTCCACCTCTCAGTGGCCCATCATGCTACCAAAAATAGAGTGAACTTCCTCAAAGAGATGGCACACCTGGCTATCGGGGTAAATACATCAATCAGCTCATCTGCCAGCTGAACTAGAACCAGGTGCCAAACTGCAGTGAATTTTTATCAATGAAGTGGAAGCATGTGTTTTTGGGTTTTGGAGAATTTGTATCAAGTATCTTCAGAGAAGATTGTTTCCTGCTTTATCTTCAAAAACTGGAAAGGAAGAGTCAAAGGAAAGACAGTAGCTGGCCAGGCATGGTGGCTCACACTTGTAATCCCAGTACTTTGGGAGGCTGAGGAGGGCAGATCACCTAAGGTCAGGAGTTGGAGATGACCCTGACCAACATAGCAAAACCCCGTCTCTACTAAAAACACAAACATTAGTGGGACATGGTGGCCCATGCCTGTGTAATCCCAGCTACTCGGCAGGCTGAGGCAGGAGAATCGTTTGAACCTGGGAGGCGGAGGTTGCGGTGAGCCAAGATCACGCCATTGCACTCTAGCCTGGGCAACAAGAGTGAAACTCCATCTCAAAAGAAAAAAGAAAAGAAAAAGCAGTAGCTTATGTTCATGGCAAGCACCTCTCATCACAGTCCAGTTCCAGGAAAAATTCTGGCGTTTTCTACATTGGCTGCCGCCTCATCTGAAATCAGCACATTCCATGGAGGAAAGAGTCTGCTTTGCTGCATCTCCTATCCTATGGTTTAATGTTGGTAATTAGTAACTCTAGCATTTGTATGAGGCACCCTAAGACTCCTGCAGCAGTGGACAAGCCCAGGGACATAATAGAATCTGGAGATTCCCAGGGCCTTGTTGTGAAAAAGACTTGAAATACACATAGGCGGAAAGGTACAAAAATAAATGTTCACTTGTCTCTTGTCTGCAAAAAAAATAATAAAGCTGCAGGAGGGAAAAGAATGGGAGCCTGAAATGCACAGATGCTTGAGGAAACAAGGAGTAGCTCATGACTTCCGGCATGGATTGGGGACCAGCAGGGGAAAACAGCTTGCAGAAGTGGGAGACAGGGCTGCTCACCTGCTCTGCATCTCCTGGAGGGAAGCTCAGCAATCTGATCCCACCGGTCCTCCTCGAAATCATAGCATTCCACACTGCGGATTGCCTTGGGTGCCTGGCCGCCAACCACAATCATGACCTCCAGAGAGACAAGTGGACATTAGCGGGTTCTGACTTCTAAAGCATTCCAAAGGAAGCCAGGACACACAGTCCAAGCTCAAGCTGCTGCTGCTGCTGCTGCTTCCAGAAAGAAACATTCTGTTCTTGATTTTCCTGCGTGCCTCAGCTCAGACGGCCCACTGCCCTGTGTCAAGAGTAGCCCTTTTCACAGTAAAGATGAATTCTACATTACTTCCCATCTGCAATTCTTTGCTTCCACAGGCATCCATGAACAGTTCAAGGAGGATGTTAATGAACACAGCCCCTTGGCAAACTCCGGACAATGCCTAACCTACTCTTCCAGGGCAGAATGACTTGTGTTGGTAAGCATGCCCAGAACTTGCATTGTCCTTCTGGTTTTGAGTTGGTAAAGCTAAATTGAAGGCAAATACTGCAAGGATTTTCTTTGAAACCTGAGCGAGAATAAAAGCAGTTTTAAGTTCTCTCTCTGCAAGGACTTCAGGCACCCCACACCCTCCCACAAGCTGTGCCCTGACTTGAAACTTTCTTCCCATCTCCGAGCACTCTGCTGTAATACCCGCTTATCTGTCTCATCTCAGTTTACATGTTATTTCCTCCAAATTGATTTCTCTGGCCTCCAAGTCAGAGCTACACATTCCTCCTCTGAGATTTCACCTGCCCTGTGTGTTATGCACTGTGCTTGACCATCGGTGACTTGTCTTTTGTGACCCTAGACAGTAAGCCCTGCCTGGGCAGAAAATGGACCTGCCTCAGTCACCAGGATAACTCCATGTATTTATGTTGCCAGGTAAAAGTGAGGGCTCAAGTATTTATTTTGAATAAAGAATAAATGGATAAAAAGTAAACGGCACATGCAAGGTATTAAACAAACAACACAGAGTTATAAAAAATGAAAAAAAAACTAAACTAGAATGTTATTTTCTTTAGTTAAGATATGTTGGAACACCAGATTAAAATTCTGGAGACAGGAAAAAACAAGCAAAAGAGAAATATGGGCTATATTGTAATAAATATATTATAAAAATAAAAAATAAAAAGAGAAAGTGAGGGCTTTTCCCATCTTTTGACTCAACCACCAAAAGAAAGTTTGCTTATTCTTGGCATAAGCTATCCAGCTTCTTTTGTAAATTTAAAAAAAAAAAAAAAAAAAGCCAAGGCTTTCAGGAACCTTCACCATGCCCGAGAAACTATCTCCCACCAGGGATGGAGAGGGTACATTCATACTGGAGAAAATCTATCATTCATCTCTGAGAACTTTCACAATTCCTTCCAAAATGCAAAATCCAAAATCCAAAATCCTTCCAAAATGCAAACTTTCTATGTTAAAATAAAACCTGAGTAGAAAGACAAAAATGATATAAGACAGCCAGGTGCAATGGCTCACACATGTAATCCCAGCACTTTAGGTGGCAGAGGCAAGTGGATCTCTTGATTCCAGGAGTTGGAGACCAGCCTGAACAACATGGTGAAACCCCATCTCTACAAAAATACAAAAACTAGCTGGGTGTGGTGGCACATGCCTGTAGTCCCAGCTACTTGGAAGGCTGAGGTGGGAGAATCACCTGAGCCCAGGAATTTGAGGCCGCAGTGAGTTGTGATTGCAGAGTCATTGCACTTCAGTCTGGGCAACAGAATGAGACCCTGTCTCAAATGAAAAAAGAATACAAGATAAAGTTTTCAAAAAAACTTGCCTTTGAGCTTATAAAACCACTGGTGAGAGATGACTTTAAACATACAAAACTAGTACAAATATCTGAGAAAAGGAATTGTGAGGTTTTGTGGAATAGGACCATCAGTTTCAGAGTGAGCTCAAGGCTGCAGGAAGAGCAGGTATACATCTGCTTCTCTCATGGGCATAGGAAAGTCAATTTTTTTGTCTTCTTTTTAGTTGGCACATAATAGGTACACATATTTGTGGGGTACAGTGTGATGTTTTGATACATGCATACATTGGGTAATGATCAAATCCAGGTAATCAGCATACCCACAATCTCAAATACTTATTATGTCTTCCTGGTAAGAACATTCAAAATCTTCTCTTCTAGCTATTTTGAAATATACAATACATTATTGTTAACTATAGTTACCCTGCTATGCAATTGAACTCCAGAAGAATATTCCTCCTATCTAACTGTAACATAGTATCCATTGACCAGTCCCATCTCCCCTTCCCCATCTCCTCTCCCTCCTCCCTTCCCCAACCTTTGATACCACTATTCTGCTTTCTACCTCTACAAGACTGGCTGTTTCAGATTTCATATATAAGTGAGATCATGTGGTGCTTGTCCTGCTATTCCTGGCTTATTTCACTTAACATAATGGCCTCCAGTTTCATTCACATTGTCACAAATGACAGGATTTCACCTTTTTATTTTTATTTATTTATTTTTAGGTGAAGTCTCACTCTGTTAGCCAGGCTGGAGTGCAATGGCGCGATCTTGGCTCACTGCAACCTCCACCTCCGAGGTTCAAGCAAATCTCTTGCCTCAGCCTCCCAAGTAGCTAAGATTACAGGTGCCCACCACCACACCCAGCTAATTTTTTTTGTATTTTTAGTAGAGACAGGTTTTACCTGCTGGCCAGGCTGGTCTCGAACTCCTGACCTCAGGTGATCTACCCTTGTCGGCCCCCCAAAGTGCTGGGATTACAGGCATGAGCCACTGTGGCAGCCTTTTTATAGTTGAACAGTATATATACCATATTTTAAAATCCATTCATCTGTTGATGGGCACTTGGGTTGATTCCATATTTTGGCTATTGTGAATACTGCTGAAATAAACATGAGAGTACAGATGTATCTTCAACATGCAGATTTCATTTTCTTTGGATACATACCCAATAGTGGGATTGCAGGGTCACATGGTAGTTCTATTTTTAATTTTTCCTGGACACATACAACCAACCAATAGAGAATCATGAAGAAATAGAAAACCCAAACAGACCAATAACAAACAAGAAGATTGAATCACTAATAAAAAGTCCGCTGTCAAAGAAAAGCCCAGGACCTGATGATTTCACTGCTGAATTCTACAAAATATTTAAAGAAGAACTAATACCAATTATTCTCAAACTATTCCAAAATACTGAAAGGGATAGAATCCTTCCAAATTCATTCTTTGAAGCCAGCACTACTCTAATACTGAACTAGACAAGGACACACACACACACAAAGAAAACTATAGGCCAATATCCATGATAAACACAGATGCAAAAATCCACAACAAAATACTAGCAAATGAAATTCAACAGTACATTGAAAAGATCATTTACTGTGATCAAACTGGATTCATCCTAGGAATGCAAGGATGGTTCAACATAACGCAAATCAATAAAAATGATATATCACATTAAAAGAATCAAAGACAAAAACCACATGATCATCTCAATAGATGAAGAAAAAGCATTTGATAAAATTCAACTTCCTGTCACAATAAAAACTCTCAACAAATTAGATATAGAAGAAATGTACCTCAACATAATAAAGGACAAACCCACAGCTAACATTATACTGGAAAGGGGAAAGTTGAAAGCTTTTCCTCTAAGAACTGGAACAAGACAGGGATGCTCACTTTCTCCACTTCTATCCAACATAGTACTGGAAGTCCTAGCCAGAGCAATCAGGCAAGAGAAAGAAATAAAGTACATCCAAATTGAAAGGAGAAAGTCAAACTGTACCTGCTTGCAGAGAATATAATCTTATATATTAAAAAGCCTGAAGATGTCACCAAAAAACAATTAGAATGAATAACTGAATTTGGCAAAGTGACAGGATACAAAATCAACATATAAAAGTTAGCGTTGTTTCTATGCATTAATAGCAAATTACCTGAAAAAGATATCAAGAAAAAAACTCATTAACAAAAATAAATAAATAAATAAAGTACCTAGGAATAAATTTAACCATGGAGGTAAAAGATCTCTACAATGGAAACTAGAAAACATTGATGAAAGAAATTGAAAAGGACACAAATAAATGGAAAAATATCCCATGATCATGGATTGAAAGAATTAATAATGTTAAAATGCCCATACTACCTAAAGCAATCTACAGATTCAATGTAATCTCTACCAAACTACCAATGACATTCTTCACAAAAATAGAAAAAAAAATCCTAAAATTCATATGGGACCACAAAGGATCCTGAAAAGCCAAACAATCTAGAGCAAAAAAAAAAAAAAAACCACAAAGCTGGGGATATCACATTACCTGACCTCAAAATATACAGCACAGCTATAATAGCTAAAACAGCATGGTACTGGCATAAAAATAGACATGTAGACCCATGGAATAGATTAGAAAACCTAGAAATAAATCCACCATTTATGGCCAACTGATTTTCCACAAAGGTGCCAAAAGCATACACTTGGCAAGGTGTTAATACCCAGAATATATAAGAAACTCAAATAACTCTATAACAGAAAAACAGATAATCTGATTTAAAAATGGGCAAAAGATCTAAATAGATATTTCTCCAAAAAAAAGTATGAATGACCAACAAGTATATGAAAAAATAATTTAACATAACTAATCATCTGGGGAATGGAAATGAAAACCACAATGAGATATCACCTCATCCCAATTAGAACGTCTACTGTAGAAAAGACAAAAGATAACAAATGCTGGCAAGGACATGGAGAAAGAGGAATTCATATACCCTGTTGGCGGGAATGTAAATTAATACAGCCCAGTATGGTCAAAAGAAATCCAATTTTTATAGTAGGTGTTGCAAGAAGCCATCATATGTGGAGCACTATACCCACCATTGTGTTGATCACACAGAGTGAAAAGAATAAATGTCCTATCATGAATGCTAATGGATAGTTGTTTCCATAGATACCTGATGTTAGCAACCAATTACGCAAATATGAGTATTTCCCATAGTCTACATGTATCACATCTCTGAAATCACAAACTTCTGGCTACTTAAGAAGACCGCAGGATATTAGAGGAAGAGACTTGAACCATTCTCACCTACAAGTCCTCATTTTATATTCCAG